GAGAGGAGAGGAGAGGAGAGGAGAGGAGAGGAGAGGAGGGGATTGAGGGACTGGGAAAATGAAATTGGCATTCGTGAAAGCTTAATGTATCGGAGACACTATGCGTACATCTACCCACTACAAAGTATTACATCTATTATTTCGTTACTGGGTCGCGTTGTCAGTGGGACTTAGTGTGACTAAGCTTGTCCGAAGTCCTCTGCTATTGTAGTTAGCATAATTGCCAATGTCGGATCGTGGACTTGGTAGATTTTTAGAAGTTTAATGGCATCATCATGGAGCCTTGCTATTCTCAACTTCAAGCTACATCTCGTCAAAGAACCGAGTAGAGTCAATCCTTTGATCAACTTTCTACCGAAATGGATGTGTTCTCACTCGACCTTTTGCAGTGGCCCATCTCCTGCTCAATCACAACAACTGATATATTTATATTCCAATCTTCGAGAAGTGTGCACTTTTTGAAGGGTTTAGTATGATTTCATAATTTCTGCTGTTTACCTTACCCCTTCTCCCACTCGAGGAGGTGATCTGATTTGGGCCTCCTATCCGAATCTTCTACATTGGCCCATAGAACTGTATCTAATCTTTCTAGCTGACCTATTTTACTCGGTTTCAGTCCCAGTGTAGGTTTAAGACTTTAGATGCATGTACACTGTTGCCTCACCGATCAGAGTGCCTAGGGTGTTAGCTCCATTAATGCTGTTATTAGATGTTGTCTTCGTGGATCAACTTTTTGACTAAAACCGTGTAGCCTAAGCAAATAGCGGACGTCTATCCCTGGATACCTATTGTATATCGAGTGAATATTTAGTACAATTTGGCCTTGATGAACAATTTCCGTGGCTGTTGTGATTATCCCTGATCATATGAATGATAGAATCCAAAACTTGTAGTTGCCTCCTCGAACAGAGAAAACTCACAAAGAACGTCTTCGCTTGATTTTTAAACTGCCCCACTTGCTTCCTTCTCGTGATTTTCTTTCCTCTGATTAAAGGAAGGTCCTAGATCCAGGAATTTCATTTTTGCTGGTAGTGCCGTATCCTTGTTTTCCCCGAGTTTGGCTGTATCTAGTTCGGCTTTTTTCCAATTTCCTCTTCATTAATTTTTTCCCAATTAATGTCAAGAATGACAAATCAAATTTCTATCATTCATACATTTTATCTATTAAAAATATATAGATTTTAAGGTATTTTATATATGAGAGAGCCAGAAGTGTGAGCTTTCAGTACACCGCTACGGATTTTTTGCCAAATCATGAAGGACAAAGTTAATGCAAGAATTCAAGACACTAATTAAAGACCAGTTACGCAATGTTTATCTAGGCACAAACTTTACATCTCATTTTATACACTTGTTAGTCGAATGGTTTGTCTGTTACCGGTATAAAACTTTGAGAGTTACTCCTATTTCGATTGCCGCATACGTAATCATATTAAAATACCCCAAACCGACTTTCTGAATGCTTTCTTTTCATAAGAAGCTAAGCAAAAATAAATAAATAGATATTTTTGAAGTCAATGTTCCAGTAAAATGGTAAATAAGAAGTATCAGGTTGCATAAAGGGATTTTTAGTGATAACGGATGTTACCACAAAGATGTGAATAAGCCTCAAAATGCTAGTGGATTGTATATAGACTTGCCTCTAAAAGTCTAAATACTGTCTAATTGCTTAATCAGAAATAAAAGCCTAAATTGAAACGCTTTATCAGCGTAAAATAGCTACAAATACTCGCCTTAAACAGGCCTCAGAGAAAGACACTTGTCCTATGTTGAAATAAACATCGCATATACACCAAAATTATATCCAGTCATTGTGTAGATCTAAATTCGATAATACTCTATGGGTATGGCATGGCTTCAAATCGCTCTGTATGTGCAAAGGCTAAATAAATTCCAATGGCAACATGTAGCCTAGCCAGAATATTCACAGAAAAAGCTCACTTACAGGTATAAATTAATACATGTGATTTAAGATTAGCAAGCGCTTTATCTAGCATTATTTATAAACCCTAAACAGTATCGTTGACCATAAATTACCCCAATTAACGAAACTTGAATAGAATCTTGCAAAATAAAAAGTGTCAAATATCTTTATGACTGGAGTAGAGTAAAAATATATAAATACCTTAAATTAATTTTTTGAATGTAAAACAATTATATTAAAAATATAAAATGTTATTAAAATTTAACAGTTTATTGTTTTTAATAATTAAGTGTTTTAATAATTAAGAAAGTTAGCCAACTTTTAAATGATAAACAGCTCTCATGTGTTCTTGTTGCTATGCTAGTAATTTGATCTAAAAACTCTCATAATAATACATTTTGATATATAATATATTTTTTCTCATAAAATCTTGCGCTACGATGTTTTAAAGTCAAAATGGGGCCACTTTTGGATGTTTCATATGAGTCTGCTATTCCTCAATCTCCAGGCGATTCCCACAATAACAATCACAATCCTGGAGATGCAACTATTTTAAGATTATTAAAAAATGAGTTGCGCAAAGAGGTTACTTTGAAAAGAGAGTGAGATTTTGTGTATAACTAATGTACAATAATCTTTTCCTATTATGAAATGTCTAAAAATTATTACTGCAATTGATTTTCAAATTTACCATTTAACTTCCGATTTGCGCCTCTTTGTTGTTTTATAATTTATTTGCTCTTATATATAATATCCTATCCTATTTGCTTTATAATATCTATCATTTTAATAATATGCCTCAACTTGTGAATATTTATATTGAAAAATTTTATTATATGGTTAAATGATTCCTTTTTATCAACTATCATTATACTATAATTATTTTTATTGTCTTATTTTAGTCTTTACCTCATTTGTTTGACGAGTTATTCTTTTATATTTCCTCTTGTATTATGATATCATTTTAATCGAATTGGCATGAATTGTTGCCACTTTCTAAAAGGATTATTTTATTTTTCTCTGTTAAAAAATGTGTGAAATAACTTTTCTCTTAATTCTCATATAGAGCCTTCTAGTTGAGTTAATCAGGTTTCTGAAATTAACTTACTTTAATATCTTGTGAGAGCCAATTATTATTCTCTTTTATTATATTATTATGTGCTTAGCCTTTCAAGTTGCTAGATATTAAACCTGAAACTTTAGAATATATTTAAAATGCAATTTAAATCATACCTATATTTTGGGAAGTGAAATATTTCCATATTTGTAAGGAAAAAATAAATTATTTTACAAGCATGAATCTTCACCTACAGATATCGAACTAATTATGTAATTAAAAGAACAATAATGTATTTGGATATGGACCATATTTTTTACCGGATTGCGTGGTGAATTTTGGTTCTATCATCAGTTGAACTCACTTCTAGTATATCTATGCGATGCTCAACACCCTAATCTTTATCTAACATGGCAATAAAATATTATACTTTTTGAGTTTTCATTTAATATTTTAATAAGAGACAGAGGCTTAAAAATTTCGCAAAGTTTCTTTTTTATCAATTTTCAGAATTTGCGCTCTTGCTTAAAGATATTATTTCTCTCCACTAATATAAGGTTTTTAAACAAATCCATCTTAATCTTTTTTGTCTATATCGTTATTGTTCATATCTATTTACCTTACCCTCTAATTAAAAACCTTGCCCCATCAACTTAGATTATTTTTTTGGCTCTACGTATCTACCAACAAGCCGTGCTCTAAAAAGCTTCATTTTTCTCCTTTTACTAGGATTAAGTGAGTTACTTTTTCCTGCATTTGATCTGTAGCGATGCCTAAATTTTCTTATTACAGAAGTGGGTAGTAAAGAGTATTTTACTTTTTACACAAAGTTTTTTATAAGTTAATAAGAATGTAAATACCTGGCACAAAGCCGTTTCTAGCACTTAGTATTTTAAGGTTACTACTAGTGATTTGGCCCGCTATTATCATACTTATATTTTGCAACGAAATATTCTCAAATAAGCGTTCATATATATTTTATATAACATCATGCTATTTGAATCTTACTTTCTAAATCTCTTATTTAGGGCTTTAGCTCGTGTTGAAGATTTGGAAGTAGCATTACATTCACGTGACGTACAACTTAGCCGGCTAACAAAATCTCTTCGTTACCGAGTGGAAGACACTGAAGCTCAAGCGGACCGACTAACCAAAATGCGGCTGGATGAAATGGAGCAGGCTCGAGAGACTGCAGATGAGCTCAAAGATTGTATAAAAAGACTTCAAGAACGAGTTTCCAACGATAAGGCCGCTCTTAACGAAGCCGTAGGCTTTTATTTTTTGTTCTGAATGATGCGTATTTGGTAAAATTCTGTATTTTATCGACCTGCTAAAAACAAATTCGAATCGAGAAATAGTATGGAGAATGTTGTGAAATGACGATATTTGCCATTTTCTATTTTATTAATTTATTTAGAGCCAAACATTTTGTCTTCCATTTTAACTGACTACACGTGGGCTTTATTTTGAGGTTTGTGATCCCTAGACCAAGATTAAAAAAAATTTATTCTCTGCCAAGAAAACAATTATCTTAATTGCTTAATTTGGATCCAAAACATTACTTATGAGGTCATAGGAATTTTGAACATTATGGAAAAAAATATTTTCTCCAAATCAAATCTGATAAAAATACTTTATTTGACAGATTTGGTGTAATTCAGTCTAAGTCCGATAAATCGCTATAAAACGCCACCCTAATGAGTGGCTTAAAGAAGATGTCATATAATATGCCTTCAAGGTCTAGAATCCTACCCTCATTCCCTACGGACCTTTGTCGCTCTTGCACAAGGTAAAGAGAGATCTGTGTCAGGCGATTCCGCGCTTTGATCGAGTGCTCTACGTCCAGGTCCTCTATTTAGTAAAGTAGATTTTAAAAATTGTTCCATAATGTGGCGCAGCAACTACGGTGAATCATAGATAAAAGAATATGATACAAGAAATATATTAGATCTCCTTTATAAGTTTGGTATTTTATATTGACACCAGGAGTCTTGGGAAAGGAATCGTCGGACACAAATACGTCCGATGGTGTTAAAGCCTCTGATTGTGGAACTAAAAGTTGATGTCATGGGTGCTTTTATAAAATAGTGGTGACAAGTCTTTTGTCTACTTGGACGGCTTATATATCCGAGTCTTTGTGGTAGCGTGCTTCTATTTTTGAAAATAATTTCTTAGCTTTTTATTGTACTATAAGCTGGCCTCTATTTTATGCTAAGTCCACGCTAAATCAAAGTAAGGAAAGTTACTAGTCACTTGATCATAATCAAAGATATATCCTTATTCTCAAAAGGCTGCTCTTTTAATCTCCTAAAGGAGCTTTCATTAGTAGTCGTCGGATTTCGAACTCCCAGCTTTTATAGAAGTAGATTGACCTCGTTGTCGCAACTGCGACCATACCAGAGACCACAATATCTTGGTCTTAATATCTCCCAGCTTTTAGATTAAAAGGCACAAACTTTACCATAGCATTAGTGCAAGCGAGAGGCAAAGCGTTTTAAATTTTCATTTATACTACAGGACTTTGATACCGCATCTAACCGTACTAATTCATCTCACTCTCCATTTGTCCACTAATTAACAAGTTTCTCTCTGATTGCAGTTTCGACTTCGCCTGGGTCTTATCAACATACACAGCAAGAATCGGGCAATGACAATTTAGAGTATAATCTGATCACGTTAACCACTACGTCACATTGCTACGAGTGCCCTAAGGTCAGACGGCAAATGTGAATTTAAGGAAGGCCATGCATTTTCCCATATCACATTCTGTGATGGGATGTTAGATGTAACAAATTTATATTTGCTTTAGCAATCGACTACATTACTTATTTTTAGTCCACTTCTTCATCACTTTAAACGAAATAGGATAAACACATATATGTATATGCTTTACTGATAGTGAGTACTTACATTTTTTTAATGTTTCATAGAAACTCGATAATAACGCTTCTTAAGATATTTGAATTTGAATTCCTCTCTCTAGACTTTGTGCACTAATGCCTTCATATGAAGAATTCCACAATTATCCCAAGAAAATATGTCATTTAATATAAATTCAAACACATTGTATTGTTGTGTTACTGAATTGGCATTTATTTTCAGTAACTTTTGGGTCCTACAAAACACTTCAAAGGTCTGATTATTTCTTTGCTCCTTTAGTATTGAACTTTACTTTTCTGAATAAATTTATGATCTAGCTTCGACGAGTATAGCAATAATTCTATTATTGTATTCTGATCGTTTTCATTT